CCGACTCGCACGTGTAAAGTAGGTGCTGATGCAGCCGTCAGCCCATACTTATTTACCGCCATCATGTGCTCGGCCGAAATGACGGTTCTACCCTTTCAGCACCACTATAAATAGATGTACTATTTTCAACAATATAGAGGATTTTGGCCACGTCATTTCTAAGCAATTGAGAGAGTCTATTTTTCCAAACAATATCTACTAATTATACTACTCTACACTAAAGAACTCACATAGTTCTTCATTTTCCCACTCAAGTTCATCAACTGACTTGATCATCGGAGGAACCATAGGGGAACCATGCCACGTCCTCTCACGAGTTGCTATTTTTGTGCAGGCTGAAAGCTACTCAACTCAAAATCAGATATTCGGAGAAGTGAGTGGCCCCTAATCAACCTCACCCCATATTATAATTACATGTTTGATTATTAACATCAACAGTGAACTTATTTAAAAAAATTAACACTGGGCGATCATTATTTAAAAAACATTTAATTACAATAACTACACAATAATAATCAATTCATACATTTTTAAGCAATCTTATTATATGTTTTTATTTACTGACGTATAATTTTACTATTTAATAAAAATTAATGTACGTGCAGAGCGCGTGCATCATACTAGTTTAGTTAACTAAAGAGCGCATTGTTCTCTCTTTTTCCTTTGTCAACGAGTTTCTGTTCTGGACCTCTTATAGGTTATTTCCTACAGAGGTGTTTTATTTCTTCTCCTTCTCCTCCTCTTTGGTATAATACAGAAGGGAAAACCTCTTACACAGAATACCGTCGTCTCGTCATACAACATCATTTGAGGCCATTTCTTGCCCGCAGCGTGCTGAACGCGATGAATTGATAAATCTCATACAGCATCTCCTTGGAAACGGCGCGACTAAGATCCCAACCAGTTTCCTACCGCAATTCGTTGGTTCCCAGTTTTGTGAGGAAACGTGTTGCTTAATTCGCCTTGATGCATGTGTGTTGCGCTAGAGTCTGTCATGACTTCCTTAAACGCTCCCGGGTTCTAGATGTCTATACTGCTATGTTGAAATGCTCGTGAGGGCAGACAAAGTTTTAAGAAAGTACATGCGTCTCACTAAAGATACAAGGGCAGTTCGTCATTTCACACATTTTTTTTTTTAATTTTCGTCTTTATTAATTTCCAGAACTTTCTAAAGCATACGTAGAGCTTACTAATTAAATACATATTACATCGTATATTATGAAAGATATAAATATGAAATAACAAAATTCTTTCCCATGTAAACAGATGCCACAAAGCCAGCAGTTAGAATTTCAATATATTTCAATATAAGCATCATAACCAATTTCAAATAAGCTGAGATAAAAATGTTGCATGTTAAATGAATAAATATTATAAAAAGATATTAGAAACATGTACAATACGTCAGGGTTTTGAAATGGCTCTTGTTCATATAAAAATTAGAATAATATAATTTTTATGTCAGTTGGACATGCAGTAATGCTGGTGCAACGGTGCTATTATAATGAGAGTTCTCATTTTATACATACTAGTTTTTACACACGTGCAATGCACGTGATTTAATACCATGATTAAGTATTTTTAGCAGTTTGTGCTTATTTTTTTTCTTTAAACTCTTACATCCCGATTATTTTTTATGTTTGTTTAAATGGGATACACCCAATTTAAATTTTCATGTTGATATTTGAATTGACAAAAAACAAATATAATTTAAAAATAATTTGAATTTTCATATTATTTTTGACCGATATGAAACTAAGCTTTATTTGAGAAAGTATATCATTGTAAAGTGAAAAATATTAAAATAGTGTTATACAAGGAAAGTGAATATTTAAAACCAATATGACAAAATGATTGATTTAAAGTATGTTGAAACGATGCAAAAGAGAATATGAAGTTTATTCCTAATCATTGATAGACTTCATAAAAAAATATAAATTAAATATTAATGCTAACTCCAGTATACTTTTATATGATAAAAACATTCACATAAGAATAAAAAAGTACTAAAAAAAATTCATGAAACTCTCTTCTAAAGATTCCTAATTTCACTCAAAATAATTAAACTATTCTATAAAATATTCATAAAATATTGTTTTTATTTCTTCTATTTTATTTTTTATTAAGTTAAGACCAATCCTTCTTCAGGTTTATCATTTATCATTTCTCGGACAATTCTAGAGTATTGTCTTCATCATCTACATCAATTGTGACATCAGGCTAATTTTATATTTTTATGCTATTATCTTTCCTAGGCTCGTTAATTTTTTATCATCTCATTTAACTTTACAAAGAAGTCAAATGTACTTATGATGTTCAACACAAACTGCTCAAAATATAGACTTTGATTTTTTTTTTCTATTTCAATGAGAATAAATATTAATTTCATATATATAAAATTCTTTGTGTTCCTAATTTATTACTTAAATAAATTAGAAGATATCTCTTTATTTTCCTCTAAAATGAATTCTTCTGATGTGCATCCAATAAGAATTTTTGTTATTTCAATAATATTATATTTGCTCTATCCCTATCATTTTCCATAAAGATCTAAACTAAATACCTGCATTATTCATTACCAATTTTTCTTAGATTATAATATTAATATTTAATTTGAAGAACATAGTATGAAATTTATGAATACTTACTAATTTTTCTTATGTCTTCCATGGAGATTTTTTCTTTGATTAGGATAAAGTTATTAAATTATTTTTTAATGTAACGCATTCAGTGCTTCTTTAATAGATATGTCTTATGTTAATGCCAATTCAAGTGATTCATTGACGTTTTCTAAATTTTAGATTTATTTCCATCACTTTCCCATTTGCAATGGAAATAACTCAATTCTTTTAAAGTTATCTCTAAATATTCTAATAGTTTCTACATATGTAATTCCTTGTATTCTTTTACCCTCTAAATATTATTAACGTCAAAGATTAAAGTTTCTAAATTAAAATCAATTAATGCTAAGGTATAATATTATAGTGTTTTATCATTTCTATGGATTTAAACATCTATCAATTAATGTTACGAATGTATTTTGGCTACCCCAACTTATTACTAAAATTATATGAAATTACTTTAATTTATATAGTGCCGATAATTTTTAATCTATAATATTTTTAAAAATTTTATCCATTAACCGGATGTTTTTAATCAATTCTTATTGTTTTTGTTTACCAGTATCAACTTAGACTATTCTTAGATGCTGAAAATGGATAGTAAATCCCTAAATTAGAAATTTTAATATATATATATATATATATATGAAAAATACCAAACAATTATACTTTTCTTTACCAAGTTTTAAAATTTTAGCCTATTTTTGTGGTTTTGAACTTTGAGGATGTGATTTATAATTTTTAAAATTTTGAAAGAGTTTTTAAAAAAATTTACTTTTAAGTTTGGTAGTTGTAAATTCTATGTTTCATGTGTTGGTGGTAATTTTTTAAATGTTAGTATATTTCTTGTAACTCTAAAAATTTGAGGATGTCTTTTGCAATTATTAAAACTATAGAATAATTTTGAAAAATATTAAATTTCAGCGGTCTACCAATCGACGAATTTGATGTGTGCTAGTTAAAAATTTTGAAAATTTAGAGTTTTTTTTTACGATTTTTAAATTTTGAAGGAGTTTTTAAAAAATTTTGAGGTTAATTTTGGCACATTTTAATTTTTTAGGTATCTAAGGGTAATATCTTAAATTCATATTATTTTATTTACAAATTTTAGAATTTTAGGGTGGCTTTTTATAATTTAAACTTTTGAAGGTGTTTCTATAAGGAGTTTTTTAAAAATTTTGAGGTTAATTTTGGCAAATTTTAATTTTTAGGTGTCTAAGGGTAATATTTTAAATTCATCTTATTTTATTTATAAATTTTAGAATTTTAGGGTGGTTTTTTATAATTTGAACTTTTGAAGGTGTTTCTATAATTTTTAAGATATTGAGGATGCTAATTAAAAATTTTAAATTTAAATGTCAAAAATTTTAGGTGTATCATGATAATCTCTTGAATTCATTTGTGTTGTTTGTAAGTTTTAAAATTTTAGAATTTTAATGTGCTTGTCTGTAATTTAAACTTTTGATGGTGTTTCTATAATTTTTGAGAAATTGAGGTGTTAGGTGTAAATTTTAAATTCTTTGCAAACTGATGTTAATTTTTTAATTTCATGTTTTTTATTTTAAGTTTTGAGACATTTGGATGAGTGTTATAATTTTGAACTTTTCAGGGTCTTTTCTGCAATTTTAAAACTTTTTATGGTTTTTTTTGCAATAATTCATGTATTATAATATGTTATCTACTTGTAATTTCTTTATCTTAACAAACTAATATCATTTTTATGTTTTATATATTTTATTAATATTAGTTTTTTTAAATTGTTAAGCTAAACATGGTTCACATTGGATTAGGATAAGATATGATTATGATTAGGATAGATTAAGATATAAATAAAATATTCAAAATAGTGAAGGGTAATATTAACCATTGAAAATTAGAATTTGATTATAGATAAGGTAGTTCAAACTATAAAGGGGTATATTTGTCTAAATTTTTTTTCCCGAACTCGTGCTTTTAAAGTGATTGAATGATCAGAACTTAAATTCGGATAAGCCCTCGTGGTTTGTCTTAAATTTCCATTAAACCCTCAAAATACTATGCCATTCTAGTAGGCCCTTATGTTTTATTTTTCCCTTTCGATTCTATTTAGCCCCTACGGTGATATAACACCCCAATCACCGTCAAAATTGAATTTTCAGAAGGGACAAAAAACTTGGAATTAGTAATAAAAAATTTTACGGGAGGGAAAAGAAAAATTGTCACTCCCACCATTCCGACTTGTGGTTGCAAACCTTGTCCCCCAGCTATAATTGCACTGAACTTTCAATAGATCCACTGATTCCTTTACACAATGAACACACAAGTTGGCACACAAAAAATGGCGAGGAAGCCCCAAGTGACGAGGCACCTTTAACAAAAAAAAGGCAACGAGAAAACATAAATTCTTCCTTGCCATTAGCTACAAGGCCCTGAGAATAAGCGGAAGAATTTACCATACCAAGTACACAAGATTCAGATGCATGACGATAGGAGACCGCAATCAAAATAAAAATTTCACGAGACCGACGCATGATTCAGTTTACACCACCTTGTATATTCCACATGTACTCAACTGAAGCGCACGCCACCTGAAACACGGTCTCCCTATTGTTCTATATGACACTTTATACCTAGAAAAATATAAGTTACAAATATTGGAGCAAAATCCAGAATATCCAATTTAAAGCTACTGCTAACGCTTTGCTCCTGGCTCTTGGATGGAAGCCCAATTCCAGTTCAAGCTCAGCGCACAGAAGGCAGAGTTTGCTGAGAATACAACTGTCTATATTTCTGAATGCCATTAATTGTGTTTCTTGTATACTTTGTTCAGGATCAGTTGCAAGGCGTAAACCTTTCTACTCGCTCTTCACAGCATTGTATTTCTCAGCAAGTGTGGATGTATTTGTTATGTTATTCATGAGCATTTTGAACTTCAGGCTGCAATCACCTCCACTGAAAAAAAGAACAAGAAATAAATTCAGATGAATCAAAAGCTGACAAAAGAATGCTTGAGCTCAAGGTGCTAATCAACCTCTCCAAAATGACATGACAATTGAGTCAATGACCAATTGCATACGTAATAAAAGAGAAAGATAAGCTGATGCAAATCGTTATAATTTGGCAATTTATGACTGAAAAACTTCGGTCATTAAATTTGTTGAGCTTTCTTAAAGTTCTAGTCAAGCAACACAATAACCCATATTGATTGGGAAAGCATAATCTAGGTCTCTCAGCAAACTTCATAGTGCTTAGTTAATTTATATGTCTACATGACTGGCCAGGTGGAGGGAAAATCAATTGTGCCTACTTACATGTAGACAGCAAATTTCAAGATCCTGTTTCAAAAACCATGGTAAGCTCTTTTCTGGAATATTTTTGACCATGCTCCACAGTGATAAAATTTTCACAGGAGTATGAAATCATGAGGTGATCTACTACGGGAAAGAAAACACAACAGCAGTGAGAGTTTGGACGACGAGTTTCTATAGGTACCATGACAAAGGAGGGAAAAAATACAAGGAAATTTTATGTAAACTGCTGCTAACAAATTAGTATTACAAAGAAAGCGGGAAAATCATGTCGTTTACTTTCTTTTATTATTTCAAAGTCCCGCTTCTTCCCCTACTATCCTTAGTAAAGAATTAAAAGTCTAAAATATATCAAACAGTAGAATTTATCAGTACTTATTATGCCAAGGTAGCCATATCTTGGTAAAAAAAAATTAGGGAAGTGGAGCTACATAAATGTTTTTTTTTATTTTAATGAGAATGACAGAATATGGACAATCTTTACTTTTCTAGCTCAACTTCCAGCAACACCAGCATGTTCGAGAACAAAGAACCTCCAACTCCCATAAAAATAGGCAGCATTCTCCAGTTCCTCGAAAATACACTCCCGAAAGAAAATTTTAAATCACATTTTTATCACCATCTCTCTAGCTTCCCCTTTCAGATCATATTTTCAGAACCAAAATAACTACACAGTTATGGAGTTGATACATCTAGAATGAAGCCCTGTTGAAACATTGTATCTACTTATCTAGTCACCAGATTCATGCAATTATAAAGACCATAAAAATCATCTTTGTCAGCCCTATTCAACATAATTCAAATCTAAGAAGTAAAAGCCAATTGTAATTCCCAGACAAAGAAAATCATAACCCAATAACCTAAAATGAAGCTTTTTTTATTAGGAATCATTAATGATAGCTCCTAAACAAAACAAGGACCTTAATAACTCAGTGGTTTTGCCTGTAAAATGACCAACTAAATGACTTCGCCAGATCTCATTATGGAACTAAATGTCTGCCAGAAAACACATGGAACTAAGATATCAGGATCAGGAAAAAAAAACTGTATGTGCTGCTGCAAGGAAAAAAACTACATAAACAGGTTAAAAAAACCAGAAAGCTGAGCGCCTCTCGAGTATCAGTATTGTCATAAGCAAGAAATAGACGAAGAATAACATCATTCGTCATTGAGAACATCCAAAAATTCATACCTTATGCGACTCAACGAGGCAATAGCACGAAGAGCACTTCGGATCATGTCTTCATTCCAAAAATTCATACCTTATGCGACTCAACGAGGCAATAGCACGAAGAGCACTTCGGATCATGTCTTCATTACGGTCAACTTCCTGCTTAACAGCATCCCGAGGCAATAGCACGAAGAGCACTTCGGATCATGTCTTCATTACGGTCAACTTCCTGCTTAACAGCATCTAGCTTTGGCTTATGATTAATAGTTCTCTCAAGAGGGTCAACCAATGAATCCAAAACTACAACAGAAATTTAATTTTGTCAACAAGGAGTTATCGGTTACAAGGAAATTTAGAACCATATTGTAGGAGAATCAAGTCATCAACCTGCAAGGACAGCAGAAGGACATTTCTCTGCGAGCTTTGAGAGAATAAGGTGGCAAGGCATCTTGACATCATAATGATCTACATTAGGGAAAAAAAGATGGAGGAAACATTAGAAATATTGCTTTAAAGTCAAGTCTTCAACATTGTCACAAACAGAATGTTTATAACAGACTTGACTATCAGAATAAGTATGGTTACAAGTGCACATGAATCCAGATTCATTATAACAGCTGTCAAAAGAACGAGTGTAATCTTTATCAAAGGGTAAAGTCACACATCATGCATGGTTACATTCAGGAAGTGCTATCGCCATGTCCTAAAGCATAAATAACTTATTGGGCAGAATAGCCATACACCATAGTCGGGGAGGAATTCCTCGAAAACAATCAGTCACACAAAGTTTTAAGTCGTACTTGAAGTTTATGCCATGTTCTAATATTTATAATGATCCTGAAATGATTAGCACTCACCGGTCAGTCCAGATAAGAGGTAAGGAACAATAAAACTCGAAGGATTCACTTGATCAAGACAGCTGTCAAGTAATGTGTCCATGCATTCAAAAGCTGCTTTTCTCAGCTCAAGCCCATCATCTACAGTGTGCTTGAAAGGACCAAGATCCACTGTCCTTATCAATTCTTTCTGCAATAAATATACCAGCTTCAGCGATTCTTTTAATGAATTGTGAAGTCAACAGAAAACACGAGGCACTAGAGAGAGAAATGAGAAAGTTTGTTTGACCTGTTTATCTAGAGGATTAGGACACTGGAATCAGATCTTATGCATTAAAAGAATTTTAGAATGATCCAATAAGATCACATTAGATGACGTCAACAACAATTTTTGCTTAAATTTAAACTAACTGAATCATACAAAATATGTACCATAGGAAGCAATCATGATAAGTGAAGATTGACAATGAAATGAAATCAACATATTGTAATAGCCCCTACAAGAAAGTGAATACTGAATAGTTCCATCATTAGATTATGCAGAAAACAAACAAAAAGAGAATACTGAATAGCGCATCATTACAATGAAATCATGGATATTCAGTAAGTATCAAGTGGCAGTTATACCATACTAGCATTTAGCTAAAACTTACAAAAGAAGATAAGCTATCAAGGCTATCTGTCTATTTCAAAGATGGAAAATCGAGGTAATTAGGCTGTACTGCAAATTCCAGAATGAAATTTCAACCCTTTTCTCTAACTATTTGTCAGAAGCCCAAATGTAGTAAACTGCATAGAACAGCATACCTTAATAACAGTCTGATCATACAGAAGTGGCAACAGCTCAGGAAGGAGCCCTTTAATAAGATTTGGTTTGTTATGAGCAACTGTACTCAAAGCCACAACTGCTGCCCTTCTAACATGCTGTGGATAATTTATGAAAAAGAAACACACAATATTTATGAAAAAAAAAACACACAATAGTTAGGTGTCTGCAAAGAAGGCCAAAAAAGATCTAAACCACTAGTAAAGTGTGATATTTACCCGATCAGTGTCCTTAATTAGCATCAGGAATGTGGAAATTTCAGGGTATATATATTCATCTATTTTTTCAGGTCGCTCAACAATGGAGTACTTCACAGCAATGACAACTGTAGCCCTTGTGAAAGCTGTTGGGCTGGTTGTTCGCACCTGCAGAATGTCAACAAGCAAAAAGAAACAGTTAACAGAAAACGGTTAACAGTTATTAAATAGTAACATACAATGTCAAGAAAATCTAGTTTCTAGAAGAGGCAAAGACATGGAACCTTCAGTGCTGGAATAAGCTTCCCAGGTTCGATAAGTGCCATTTTACCCAAACATTCAGCTACTACATTGCGAACTCCCTCTTCTTCACTTTCACAGTGATTAAATAGCAAATTCAATATCTTCTCAGCATTTGAATCCTGAAGCTCGCTCTGGCCAGCATTATCAACAGATTGCCTTGAAATAACCTATGAGGTAAAGAAATAAAGTAACAAATAGCATTAGATAAATAAACAGATGACAAAAAGTACAAGCACAAGCACAAGCATTAGTTTGATAATAGAACTCCCCAATCCATTAGCACACCTCTTTCAAGGAATGAAGCAGAAGGTACTGCTTCTTCTGTTGATGATCAATTTGATCCAAGATAAATGGTAAATACTTGGATAGATTTCCAACAGCTATGTTCCCAAGAGCATATGAAGCTGCAGATTTTATCTCTTCAAAGGGAGACTGGAAGGACTCGATAACAGTATTCTCTATGTTGGCATGCATGCTAAGGTCCTTTCTACGGCCAATTTCTCCAAGGCACAGCAGTGCCAAGTGCTGTTTAGCCTAAATACCAGAACGAAAAAAAATCTGTTAGTCCACTGAAATGAAATATTATTACAGAGAGACGTGCTGCATTTGCTGGCATAAATCAACCACTATACAATACCCAATTTTAGCTTGGAGAAGCAGCCACCTATATACATTTTTCACAATAGCAAGTAGAAAGGAGAAGCGCAAATGAATTTATCTAGTGTACCGTAACCTGGATTTCGCAATTCAAGCTGAATGCCCAAATATTACACAAAGAAAATGGACGAGAAATTGAGAAACAATCCCATGCATATATTTTTCTAACAACCAAATCATGCTCATGTACACTGTTAGCTAAATTTTGTACATTGTATAACATTGAGAAGTACTACGGTAGCTCAAATATGAAATGCAGGGTCTGAAATAATAATGAAGGTGCTATTAGAATTGAGATAACTTATCATATAAATCAGATCTGATTGAACATGTAATCCTTACAGACATATAACACGATCAAAATAAATGATTTGCTTGACATTCAAATAGATATATAATCCTTAATCAAGAAACAACAATAAAAGTAATATTCCAGCAAATATTAACACGGTAAAATAAGCTTTCATGCAACTCTTGTGTGTTTGTCAGGTGAGTCACATACCCTTCTGGGTAAATTCTACACAATAATGGAAGAAGAATTAAAAATGGAGAATTTCCAATAAAAAGATTGAAAGAATTTCTGTTTTACTTACATTTAAAACTCCTAAGCTGCCACTAATTCAACTGCAATTATGCATAAGTTGAAGTTTCAGAAAAATAGTAGGCAGCTATGTTTCTTTCTAATCAAAACTTCTAAAAGCAAAAACTTAAAAGATTGGTTATGAGCTTACAAAAAATTTATGATATGCAATGTTAAGTCTTAATTTACCGATGGAATGCACAAACCCCACTTTAACTAAAGGAGAGTATATTGTTTAGTACTCTAAAGGAGAGTTATATTGTTTAGAAACCAATAACGTGGCATCACTCGTGCATGTAAGCCTCTTAAAATCCCCCCCCCCCCCCCACACACACACACACACCAAAAATAAAAAAACAAAAAAAACCTGTATAGTCTCCATAGCCCATTGTAAATAAATGTCATACTCAAACCCTTTGTTACAAGGATGGTTTTCAAGAGAAATAAGGCTTTAAGTGGGTCAGAACTCACAAGCATGACAACTAATCAGGTTTAATAGTGTCCATAAGTCGTGTTCTGCCGGAGACAAAAACAATGTTGTTAAGTGAGCGAAGTTAAAGAGATGGAAGGAAGGAGACTGGCAGTTTTCTCCCATGATTCATACGGACATAGGTGTTTTTACACACAACTAAAAGCAAGTGACTATGTTACTGGAAATTTAAAGTGGAGTATGGTCCCCACATTCACGGAAACAACTTGGTTGCTTTTTTTTAAGCCCATTGACCCGCAAGATCCAGAATGCAAAGTGCAAGACACAGCTGGACATCGTACAATACAATCAGATGCTATTCAAATAAATGCTCCTTGCAGATAATAAGATCTAGTTTATGTTTCATAAGATCCTTTCAATCACTGCCAACATATGACATTGCGAAACATACACAAAAGCATTATCTTTAGTTTTACGCTTTGCTTTTTCACTATGGTATTAAAGCAGTTCATCATTATATACTATGCTAAGCAGACCTGCCAGAAATACAGTAACAATATAAACATCACATTCTATCACTTATATATTTCTCAATCAAGATTGCAAGACTCCACCACATTCATTGAACTCTCCCTGAGCATGTCATAGTTTGGCTCCAGGCTTTGGAAATGATACTTGAATAGGATGATACAGAAAAATCACAGCAATGTAAAAATCAAGTCTAAAGTGATAAAGCTCTTCACAACAATTTACGTTGAGAGATACTTACCGAATTTGTAGTACTGTCATCTTGTAGAATGCCTTTCAGCATTGCTACAGTGGATGCACATTTGGTGTTGCCAGCAGCTAAGCAAAGTACAGCCACACAACGTGCGATTGAAAATAGAGCTTGTTTAGCAAGACCACCAGATTGAGGTGATGGTTTAGCACTCGAAAGAAGTGAATCTAGAAGTCCATCAAAGCTTGTGCTGGCAGAATGAACCAATGAAGCAAAGAATTTCTGCAGCGCCTGAACCATTAAAAAAAATTCAAACTTAGTAAATCTTCAAAATAATTTATGGACAAATCAATTTATAGATTACGTACTTGTAAAGCTTGACCCTGTAACAAAGAGCTTCTGATTAATAAGAGTGCCTGAGGGAGAACTTTATGTCTAACAGTCAGACCAACTGTCTGACTAGACTTCTTATCAGTCATAATCGTGCAGCAGAGTTCCAAAGCAAGTGCGGCCATATGGAGGTCAGTGTCGCTGTTAGACAAAGTTGGGTTAATTATATTGATATGTCAGTTCACAGAGACAAGCGGGACTACAAACAAAGATACCTTATCAAAGTGGATAATTCAACAATTATAACTTCATAAGAAGATGGACTAATTTGATCACCATATGCAACAACCAGGGAGTTAAGTGTTCCTAATGTTGCCTGCCTCAGTAACCTGTTAGCCTGCAAAAGAAGATGACATTCTGATGGTAAAACAAATGTAATTTCAACTCGTCCTTAACTTGCGGCAACTTTTTTAAAAGAATGTTGTCTACTCAATTATAATATACATTACTTCAGGGGTACCTTCCGCAGAAATGCTGTTAATTCTGACAGAACATGCTCCAAGACGCAAGAGAGATCTATCCGCAGAGGCGAATTAGCAATTACTGAAAACGCCTGAAGGAAAGAAACACCATCATTGATTAAATAAAAAAAGGTTTAAACTCAAAATTAATCAGCTTAAACATCAGCAAAAATAGTAGCGGAGAAAGGAAACAGGACAGAACATAACCTTTAAAAAGTCACAGCTCTATTTAAGAATACAACCTTGGTTTCGGCCTTTATTATCATATAAGCAAGCGCATGAACTTTTAAGAAAACTAGTAAAAGGGGCACATGTGATGCACATGCTTGCTCAATATAGTTATTGCACAAGGCTAGATGTGGCCATTTGTTTGTGTATGGAGTTTCGAACGAAAGTATTTCTATCGCCATAAGATATGCATAAATAGGCCAATTTGTTAGGGGGGAAAACTGTGTTAATTTTTAAAATCACATGCATGCCTCTAATGTGCTGCAGAAGAGGTAGGATATGCATAAAATTTTATTTGGGTAAATTACACTAAACCTCCAATAACTTTCAAAATGTTTTTTTATGTTGTTCTTTGGTTCTAATTTATGGGGGCTATCTGCTAAATGCAAATTTCTTTCTTTTTTTTTTTTGGGGAAAAGGTTTTTTAGGGTTTATTACAGTTTTGAAAGTTATTGAGGTTTTACTGTAGAACACTGAATGTTCTTAGGGGTTTAGTGCAATTTACCAAATAAAGAATATAAACATAGACGAATGCACGGCCAAAGTTGTATGCCTATGTTATTGAACTTTTTTTGTTCTAACTTTTAGGGGTTATCTATGAAACGCGGAAACTTATTGGAGATTTCTGTAATTCCAAAAGGTTATAGGGAACTTTGAGCAATTTTGAAAGTTATTAGGGTTTATTGCAAAACATTAAAATTTCTTGGGAGTTTAGTACAATTTACCTCGTAAAGAATATAAACATAGACACACTCACTGTCAAAGACGTATGCTTCTGTTATTAATTTCATTTGTTCTAATTTATGGGGTTATCTGCAAAACATAGAAACTAATTGGGGGTTTACAGCAATTCTAAAATGTTATTGGGCTAGTGCGATCCTGAAAGTTATTAGGGTTTATTGCAAATGTTTAAAGTGTTTGATGGGGTATCTGTCAAAGTCATATGCTTTTGTTATTAACTGGGAAGTAATTATGATATTTGGGATTTAGTACCAATTTCAAGGGTTGGGGGACTAATCTCAAAATATTAAAGATTTGAGGGAGTAATATCGCAATAACATGTTTTCGAAATGGGAAAGAGGAAACTTGAATGGTGAGGATCGAAGGGGATACCCCAATCTTCTCCTCCCCAGTCTCAACAAATAAAAAAGAACAAATATGTAGAATGAACATAAAGAACATTGAATTATGCAGAACGAACAGATGCAGCAGAAAATAGTTAACATGTGTTATGAGGCATTAGTGGGGTTGCCAGTTAATCTGATTTTGCAATTTCTAATTTATAGGGGACATAATTGAATGAATAACTTATTACACAAGACCAAGCTATGCAAAACCAAGTTGAGCTGTTAGGACTTAATATATGAAATCATGGCACGTGTTTTTATGTGACCCACAAGCAGCAGAAAAACTAACCTGAACTGTTAGGAAGTGGCAAACAATATCTGAAGCACACAGGTTCAACAAAACCTCGCTCAACTGCTGAAGCACACAGCTCTGACGAAACCTCCGACGAAACCAAAGGAGCTGCTAGGTTCGGAGAGAGCATATTTGGAGGTTTTTTTTGGTTGGGCACGTCTTCGGGCCCGACAGGTGTTGCTGTGGGTGGGCCCAGATTTAACTGGAAACTCAGGGGCAAATTCGTCCAAATAAAGTTACGCAAAAAAAGCACCCGGGTCTGTGAGCTCCTAGGGATTTTTTATAGATAGTGATACATAGGCCATACATTAAATTATGCTTCAGCAGACTAGAGCGTGTTTCACGGAGCTTATTTTTGGAGGATTTTAAGCTTAGTTAGCTTTTGCTAGCTTTTGGCGTATAATATGTTACAGTAAGCACCACGCATTGCTGGGTGCTGACGGCCTAGGTGGATTTCTTTCTCTTTCTTTCTTTTTGTTTAACTTTATTGAAGACTGAAGGAAGTGAAAGAGGTGTTCGGAGTCGGTGGAGAGAGCCAGGGAGCCAGGGAGGTACAAAGGCATGGAGGCGGCAACGAAGGAAATCAGACCACGACCTAAGTTTTGCCGCACAACGGCCCATGCTCCCCTAGGCCCTCCAAAGACCTAGACGAGAGCCTAGTCCGCTTTTTAAAGCTAAAGCTTTAATGATTAAAAAAAGCTTTTATCAAAATTGTATGGATAGAATAGTCATTTTTGTAGTCAATACTCGCCTATTTAAGCAAGCTCATAAGTGAGTTTTTCACAAGTTGGGGGATCCTAAATTTTTAAAATGGAAATTAAAAGCTAGCTTATTTCGGATATTAGCAAACAGGTAGGATGGAAAAGATAGCTTAAAGCTGCTGTAAATTTAATCAACAAAAATCAGTATTACTTATTATTAAAGTTATTGAAAGGACATTTAAATGGAAGACTAAGAACAAATAGCTAATACAGGGAAATATGGTTCAAGGTAAACTTCTTAACTTCATTAAGTTTTAAAGTTAGGGCCAAAAAACAGTTACCTTTACAGCAGTTAGTCGTGTTATCTCATTGCCCATCCGATCGACTAGGATAGAAAGGCATGCAGACAATTCTGACTGGAGATTGTCGCCAAAGGTTGAAATTACTAGGCTCATACAAGATATAGCACACTCCTTAACTTCCTGCATCAAAAAAACACTATTTTAGATAGGCAACAAATCAAGAAACTAGTACATACAGTAACTTAACTAACCTGATCTTGATCCTGATTTGCCAATCGTGTCAAGATGGCATTATAGATCGGACGAACGTAAGGTTTGAAATCGAGGGTGCAAGTCTACATCACAAAGAGACTAAAGTCAAGGAAGGCCAAGTAATAGATACTAAGTCTAAACTGAATAAAATATCAATAATCACCTCAAAACTTGGACGAACAACACGGACCAACTCTCCACACACTCGTAATGCTTCCGCAGCTACCTTGTAGTATCTCTCATAAACAGCAGATAATACAGGACTCGAAAGAGCCTGTATGTTAATGGGCATACAATAGGTCACAATATAAAAACAAAGAGAGTCCACAAAACATTTCAGTTACAAAATGAATAGTAGCAAGATATTTAAAACAAGTAGCAAAGAGGAAAATCACAACTTGATGGAAATCAACAAGATCATATTAATCATTAGTTCCCACTAGGTAGTATAAACAAATTTCTAAAACCCAAAAAAAAACAAAAAAAAAAAATCATAACTAGAAGATATTTAAATAGCACCCAGATAACCCAAGATTATACTTGATCGTGCCCAACTTAGGTGGGGATGGGCTTGGACTCGCATTAGGTATCGTGTAAGGTTCAAGCAGACTCTGCTTTGGCCTGATTTGCCTACAATCTGTCAGGTTCAAGCAGACTCTGCTTTGGCCTGATTTGCCTACAATCTGTCAGGTTCAAGCAGACTCTGCTTTGGCCTGATTTGCCTACAATCTGTCCTGGTAAAACCCAAGTTGCATTTCTACTATAGATCTGGATTAATTTATAAAACACTGGAACCTGGTCTGTTGCTAGCCTAACCATTCTGCCATTCTTCAAATAACCCAGCAGAACCACCTCGTTTCTAGTTTGATGGGAACCAAAATACCAATAGCCACGCAAGGAAAAAGGAAAAATCATGTCTTCACCACTATATGTGGCAAATAGAGTTACATATGATCTAAGAGTCTAAGAGAAAATGTTCAATCAAAAGTATCATATTACCAATTACACGGTTTCACATATAGAGGGAGGACAGAAATTCCTGAAAATCTAAGGAAAGATTTAATATAACAAGGGCACTTCTGTAGAGAAGGAATTTCATGTGGATGTGTATAATCTTTAGAATCTCTGCATGTCTCTCCGTAGTGTCCATGCGGCATATGTATGTGATAATGCAACATCCACTTAATTTTTCAGGTTTATTAGATAGAAGAATGTAAGAACGCAAAATAAGAATATCAGTCTCACATCAATATTGCCTTCAATATTTACAAACTTAGTTTCTTCATCAAAATAATCAGAACTGTAACTAGAGCGTAACATCCCAATCTAAGTCATAGGAAGGTGAAGAGGAAGTGTAACCTTATGTATTGTGAGTGTTACATGATTACATCACACCACTTAGATACAAAGTGAAAGTCGTGGCTTTTGCAAACACCAAAATACCAGACAGATGAGTTAGATACTAAATGTATCATAAAACATGGGTCTCTGGTACCTGGATGAAAGGATGGAAAACTGAAGGTGAATGTGAAATCATGACTAATCTCATAAAGACCAGAGCCTCAATTTTCAAATTTGACGTAGAGGACTTGTCCTGGCAAAACAAACAATTATTAGGAGCAGATTGTTTCAAAGAGGAAAAAAGACTAGTAAAGTGACACCTCTGGCCGAAAGAAATTAAAGAACTCACACTCAAAGCCTTTTCAATTCCAGAAACAAGAGAACCAATATGATCAGCAAGGCAGTCTGGTAAGACGACAACAAGTTCCTTTAGCAGTGAAAATGCCCCCACCTGAGTATATATAAAATATCAATCAGACATGCCTAAATGTAAACCAACCAAAACAAAGAAACCTCTAATGACCTTTGTCTTGATGGACTTTTCACGGAGCTGCCTGTTTACTGATCGAACAATTTTTGGTACTTCTTGTTTCAATAGATATCGTGGGCTGCATTAGCAAACCAAAATCATCTCTTAAATAAGTGGGTGATGTTCTATATAGGATAAAGAAGAAAATATGTCTTATAAATGCCTAAAAAGATAGAACCACTTTGTACACATTATCCAAAGGATCAAATAATAAAATAATAAAATCTTGAAAGTTCAAGTCTACCAATCTATATACTAAAGTGAAAGCCTTGGTTGCCAACTTGCCACTCAGCAACTTCTTAAAATTTTGAACTTTCGAGTTTTGTTTGACACTAATTCGACTAAAAAAAGAAAAAAAAATTAATAATAGTAATACGAAAGGTTATCTAACTTTTCATTATCCCACTAATTTCTTAACATCTTATCCATTAATTCACCCATTCATAAGCCCATTTGTTTTTCCATTAGGCACAACAATAAGCATATTATTGATTAAATGTAGAAATAACCATTGGAAAATTTTCTTTAAATATCAATGAATTAGAGATATCCATTCTTCAGTTTCGGTTTCGGAGAACGGTCGAAGGCTCGATTATACCAACTGCAGCTTCAAGGGGACCACAGCCTTTGCTGCCTCCCAAGTTGCTTCTCCTATCAATCATTCCATTAGCAAGCCAATCAGCCCTTCTTTTGCTTCGCGACCGTATTCAAACTAGAAGGTAGATGGTATTAATTGTCAAAGAAGTTAATCGTTCGAAGTCACTTCCTTTTCTTATGTGTACATTTTCTTATTCTTTGTCCACCAGAATATTTCTTTGACGTTATATCAATTTTTTTCGTTTATGTATTTCAGTTCGTAGTATTTTTCAGGTCCCGTCCACGGAAAGATTTTTTCTGCATAGCTGATTTATTTTTATATTCATAAGTTTATTAAGCCTTCGAACTTCGTCCAATATTTGTTAGTTATTCTTCTTTTAATACAACATTATTCAATTTGCAAGTGTCTTTCTATGGTGAAGAACATCATTTAATTTGCAAGTGTTTTTCTATGGTGCAAAGCAGTCTGGGTTCAATTATACCCAATTCTAGTGTTCTCGGGCCTTCCATCTTCCCATTAGAATTACTCCTTTCAGTTGCATGACTCCAATTTAACTAATTTTAGCTTTTATTCGGTATTCTTCCCTTTTCTTATAATTCAAAATAGTTTCCTAATTGAATTTTATTTTTTTCTAATTTTATAGGACATTGAGTAGCAGAAGTATTCATCCAACCAAAGACGCTGTGGCACCGCCGTTGAGGCTCCTCCAACACTTACAAGTCACTTCCTTTTCTTATGTATACATTTTCTTATTCTTTGTCCACCAGAATATTTCTTTGACGTTATATCAATTTTTTCATTTATGTATTTCAGTTCGTAGTATTTTTCAGGTCCCGTTCACAGAAAGATTTTTTCTGCATAGCTGATTTAGTTTTATATTCATAAGTTTATTAAGCCTTCGAACTACGTCCAATATTTGTTAGTTATTCTTCTTTTAATGCAACATAATTCAATTTGCAAGTGTCTTTCTATGGTGCAGAACAATATTCAATTTGCAAGTGTTTTTCTATGGTGCAATGCAGTCTGGGTTCAACTATACCCAATTCTAGTGTTCTCGGGCCTTCCATCTTCCCATTAGAATTACTCCTTTCATTTACATAACTCCAATTTTACTAATTTTAGCTTTTATTGGGTATTCTTCCCTTTTCTTATAATTCAAAATAGTTTCGTAATTGAAGTTTATTTTTTCTAATTTTATGGGGCATTGAGTAGCATAAGTATTCATCCAACCAAAGACACTGTGGCACCACCGTTGAGGCTCCTCCAACACATACAAGACACTTCCTTTTCTTATGTATACATTTTCTTATTCTTTGCCACCAGAATATTTTTTTGACGTTTTATCAATTTTTTCGTTTATGTATTTCAGTTCGTAGTAAGTTCGTAGTAATTTTCAGGTCCCGTTCACAGAAATATTTTTTCTGCATAGCTGATTTATTTTTATATTCATAAGTTTATTAAGCCTTCGAACTTCGTCCAATATTTGTTAGTTATTCTTCTTTTAATGCAACATTATTCAATTTGCAAGTGTCTTCCTATGGTGCAGAACATCATTCAATTTGCAAGTGTTTCTCTATGGTGCAAAGTAGTCTGGGTTCAACTATACCCAATTCTAGTGTTCTCGGGCCTTCTTCCCATTAGAATTACTCTCCTTTCAGTTACATGACTCCAATTTTACTAATTTTAGCTTTTATTGGGTATTCTTCCATTTTCTTATAATTCAAAATAGTTTCCTAATTGAAGTTTATTTTTTCTAATTTTATAGGGCATTGAGTAGCAGAAGTATTCATCCAACCAAAGACGTTGTGGCACCGCCATTGAGGCTCCTCCAACACTTACAAGCAAGCTTGTTCTTGCTAATTAATAATCTCTGATACCGCATGCTAACACCTTCATATTGCAAGTTTCATGCAATTTTCTGCTTATTGAAATCCAAATTGAATTTTGGAACTTAATAAACGCTTACTTATAATTCATTTACTATTGTAACATATATAAGTTATAATATTGCAAGTATAAACAATTTAATAGTAAATCCTGTGCATTGCACAGGGTAAAACTAGTTAAATAGGAAGCAAGAAGCAAACACAATAATGAAGTTGAAATACATGAGGATATTACTGCTTGTACTTTGTACACATTATCCAAAGGATCAAATGACAAAATCTTGATAGTTCAAACTAAGAAAGAAGCAAGAAACAAACACAATAATGAAGTCGAGATACGTGTGGGGTTTACAGGTTGCACTTCCTCATGGATACAAGTTAAACATAGTTCTTTTAAACAGCGTATAGGACTTCAGGTGTCTTGCCCTTTTATGGAGATAAAATAGAAGATGAGGATGAGGTATACCTGAAAATACTCAAAAGGAAAATAACTTATAACTTAAGTGATGAAAACAAAACCAGTCAGAGAAAACAGTAAATATGGAAGGCAAGCAGTTGGAGAAAACAGAGCATGAATGACTCCTGATTATAGTGGACGAAAGGAAAGGTGAGTGAAGAAAGAAACAGGAAAGAAAAAGGAATAGAAACAAAAGGCATTAGAAAGTTCCTGCATTAGAAACAGCATTTGGATCTTACAACACTGCACACTCTAGAACTAAGTTTATACGCCCTTAAGATAATAAACAAAGATATATTATATGATCTTCAAACCATCCTTTGATCTGATTTCCAGTAGTAACTAAAATTTCAGTTAAAAAATAGTCATAAAAACTGTTAACATCAGAAGGAATCATATCTAAATTGCCTTGTTTGGAGGACCATAGGGTAATATTAAAAAGTGTACTAAACAATCCAAATATGTAATACATCACTAAGAAAAAGAACAACCCCAGTAGATAATTGGCAAGAATGTAAATCCATTAATGAACATACAACAGTCGACCAAATGAATTTTTTTATGAGAAATATGTTTTTTGCTAAGTATGCATGAATCAACTCTAATTAATAATATTCTGATAATTATACTAAAAGGACATGGAAAATTCATGGACCCATGAAAAGACTATTTATCTGAATGCTATTAAAGTAAAAGATGGTATGTAAAGTTCCCTGGAATAAAGCGCAAGCAGTTACACACACAGTATTAGGATACACTGCCATATACAAAAAAAAAATGAACATCAGGACATAATGCAACTTCCAATGACATCAATGGATGCACAATCAGTGCAGTAAGCACTTAAGAATTTGATAGGGAAAACAGCAAATGGAATTCTTCATCAAAATTGGAACTGGAGACTAGAGAGCTAGAAAAGCAGTTATTTGTGATGGGAAGACAGTGTTTCAGCACTTAACATCAACTATATCGACATTTTTTCTCCTATCTACCAGATAGACCAGGAGTTGTCCAATTAAATTGAAGAAACTGGTTGGTTTAGCAGAAATGATATAATGCTCTCAAGCTTTTTCACAAACTAGAATTTCACGAGCTAGGGCTAAGTTCCAAGTTCCAACAAATTCATGTTACACTATAGTTCCACGATATAATGCTCTCAAGTTATTTCACTAACTACAATTTCATGAACTAGGATTTAGTTTCAACTTTCTTAATGTTATACAATGATTCACCGAGAAAATGTAAGTGTAAAATCACATAATAATAACTTACCTTGACACATCACTATCATGCCCCTTCGTCACATTCCCAGTTTGTCGCAGCAACTCAATGAAAGTATTAAATACGTCCATCTGACAATGTATACATTTACATAATGTTTAATTGAACATCTAGTTGTAGTTTGCTTCGTTCTCCCATAATTATATTCAGAATCTAATGTTACCTTTACGTTTTCTTCTCTTTCACGAAATCTGTCTATCAACTTCGGGCATGCCTGCAAAAGACCATAAAGATTTCATACTTCCATATTCGATCTCTATTGAATATGCAGTCACCACATGCAAAATTAATTAAAACTTGCCCTATGAACATAGACATAATAGAAAAATCAGATGTATATCTTAACCCATTCTCACGACAGATCCAAACGAGAGATACAGTTCAGAAACTTCATAATTATAGGTGAAGCATTTATTGTCATTGTTGTAGTCTGCATATGAAAACCTAAAATGAATAAGGAGTATGTGACATGCCTCCCAATACATCTTCGAGAGCATTTCTGGACGGGAAACAATAATAGCAGATAAGCACTTTGCAGCTGCTCTACGAACTTTCCAGCTGGCATCCTCATCATCGGTATATTCATCTGCACTTTCACTGTCACGAATAGACAAAATAAATTAAGTAACGGCACAAGAAGATGTAAGGAAAGGCTCAAAATTTAATAACATACTCTTCATCCTCCTCCTCAAGCCCCTCATTATCAGTATCCTCATCCATGTTATCAGTGAAATTTGGATCATAGCTTAAGTATTCTAAAGAAAGGTTTAAAATGTCTTTGCAATATGGAGATATATCCCTGGGACATCTGAGAAGAAAACTATCCAATGCCTGAAGAAAAATGGCTGAATTAGTAAAAAGAACTATTTTGACATAATATAATAATTATAAGTTTTACATGCAACTGCACTAGAACACCTGCAAACTGTATTCACGAAGCTCCTCGTCATTTTCTGATGCACTTATGCAGTAATTTATCAACAAGGGGACAGTTTCACCAAGATGTGGTCCAAAACGATATCCAACGGAACGGCTGATAGATCACATGCACATGTTTCTTTTCAGCAGATAAGAAAAATAATTTTCATAAGAGTAAAATGGGGTTTTTATATTTATATAAACTATCACAGTGCAAAACATGTTCAACGCAAGGAAAAGTTTGACATATTCATAGAAGTAGCAGGAAAGTAAAGATACAAAAGATAGCGACAATTGCAGGTAATGAGATTCAAGTGTCTTTTACTGTAATATACACAAGTACACAACTGCATACACTTAAAATCTCTGTTCGCAATCCACAATAAAGAAAGAGAGGCATTTCTTGAAAAAATTATCAAGCAATAACTAATAAGTCGGCAAAATAACAATCCATTCCATGCGCATTGCTAGGTATCTAGCTTCTTTAGGCTTATAGCTTTGCTGGCCTGTCGTACAGTGTGAGAAATGAGTATGCCCAGTGCACACTGGTACATAATGGAAACAATATGGAAACAATATTCAAGTCACCTAAAAAGTTTGCAAGGGTTTCAAGAAGCACTATACAAAGGATTGACTAGAATCCAAAGTTAACCATTGAAGATGGGACACGAGTAGCTTATTATTATTGTAAGGCAAAATTTTACAGCACCTCACTGAACTTTAGAGTGTTTCGCACAAAACCTCCCTGAGCTTTGTAAATTCAGAGAAAATATCCCAAAACTTGTCTCACTTAACTACCATGACTGGCCGCGCTCATTTAAAGTTATTACGTGCTCCACATGGACCACATGTGACAACTTTGAACAATTTTACTCCTACTAAGTTCTATATTATCCTTGTCATGTAAGGCCACGTAAAAAGTAAAAGAACAGTGCAAGCTTTTTACTCTGCCTGTTAATATTGTTTATGTGAATTTCCAGTGGTTCAGGGAACCCACCCCCAATCCCCTGCACCCCCGCGCGGGGTAGCCATGCGGGAACTTGTCTCAGTTAACTACCATGACTGACGTTGTTAAACATAAAGTGTTAAAAGTGTACTCTGACTGATTCTACACGAGAGAACTCATAATCATAAAGAACTATTTTCAGGCAGACTAACCCTTCATGTTGGCTACCTCTCTCCATACAGCATGAAAAGACCTGAGGACATTCTTTTGAAGTATATTAGGAGTGTTTGGTTCGATTCCAAGAAAACCAAGAGCATAAAAAATTGGTAAATTGCCTATAAACCAATGGTTTCAAGTCATTTCCTAATAGGAAAAAAATCCGAAAATGAGATTCTTAGAATTAAGCTCGAATCAACCTAATGGGAGGGTGCCAGCTCGTCCTCCCACTTGGTTTCAAATTGTCAGCCAGTCACAAAAAAGAAAAGCATTGGAGGAAATGGTTTCCTATAATGCACTTTTCTTCTTCGTTTTTTTTTTTGGCCAACCAAACAGGCTATTATTCGAAAATTTTACACAAACATACGGATTACTGGCAATTTTGTAAACTTTGAACCAGCCATCTGAAAGTAAAGGTAGATGGTTTTTTAGAGTTTAACCATGGTTTGCGCTGGTCAAATATAAATTCTATATTTTAAAATTCTGAAGAAGACATTCTTTAGCTGTTGACACAATAGGTGTATTTTCTGTATGTATAACATATTTATTTGTGTTAGAAACTACAAATAGAAAATTATAACCCTCAATTCTCACCGCAACTTCGGAGTTTTGGTGTAATGGTTCGAGGGACTAATTTAAGATGGTATCAACACAACCTAGGTTCAAATCCCACCAACCATGAATTTTACAGCGGATTTCTAAAAATTGTCACTGGCGCGTGAGTTCAGATTTCAGCCCATACAACAAGGGCGCTCAACCTGGGGGCATATTAGAATTAATATAAAATTATAACATGCAACTCTCACCACAACTTCATTGTTTTAGTGTAATGGTTAGAGGGACTAATTTAAGAATTTCTAACAAGTGTTAAAAACAATCTTAATTAAGAGGTATGATGTTTGCTCTGTTGGCCCAAGCTCTCTCAATTCCTCTTGCCGACACCATTTTGCTAAAAAAAACTGAACATTTGCAAAACAGACGGTAACTTGGTTCAGTGACTTCATTCAATGCTAATGACAATTGTATCGCCGCTGTGTTATTTTTCATCACCTCCAATACATTTTTTAACTGGCAAACCCTCTGGTAACAACATACTTCTGGTACTAATAGATATCTGGTAATAGTCGACCACTGCTAAAGATTGAACCATGTCCTACTTGTCATAAGCTCACAACAATGGTTGGAGAGTGGACAGCAGAGTTCAACTTCCCATACCTATCCAGTGAGTTATTTTACTTATTTCACAGCATTCAAGATGCTTAAGACTTATATTTCAAATGTTTCAATAGTATATCAAATAAGAAATATACTGTATCTATTCAATTTCTAATTTATTTTTGGTTCTTTTAGCATAGACAGAAATATTTGTAACTGCATGAGTTTTATTAGTATGTATGAAGAACACGAGTATGCAAGTAACATTATGACGGAAAAAGAATGCATGGCTGACATGACATGTTGAATACCTTAAAGCTCCAACCATTTGAATATTTGTGCGGATTATTTCAGGCTTCATATTCGTGTTCCTCAACAGTTGAACTACTGCAGCAGTCGCCTTTGCAAGAAGATCATCGGACAAGCTTGAGGCAAGAGATGCTAGAAAGGCAAAAGGAAAGGTCATATATCTAACCTCTCTGTTAAAATGTATTCAGAATAGTTCCTCCAAATAAGTTTACCACTACTTAGCCATCTATAAAATGGATTTTAAAAAAAAAGAATATGGATAAAGCATATGAATATATTTCTCACCAATGCAAGCAATAGACTTTTTCCTCACACTAGCTTGACTTGAGTTCAATTGAGACAGAAGTGCAGCTAGCAATTTGTCATGATCTTTTTCCATCAAATTTCCAAACTTATTGAGCATGTCGCATAAAATATCCAAGTTCTCACACTTAATTTCAGTACGGATTCCCTGGCGAGAGAGAGAGAGAGAGAGAGAGAGAGAGAGAGAGAGAGAGAGAGAGAGAGAGAGTGAGAGAGAGAGAGAGAATGATGAACAGAGACAGAGAGAGAGAGAGAGTGAGAGAGAGAGAGAGAATGATGAACAGAGCAAGAAATATTAAATGTGAATCAAGATTCATAATAAGCCAAAAGAAATATCCACAAAAGGGGAGAGAGAGAGAGAGAGAGAGAGAGAGAGAGAGAGAGTGAGAGAGAGAGAGAGTGAGAGAGAGAGAGAGAATGATGAACAGAGCAAGAAATATTAAATGTGAATCAAGATTCATAATAAGCCAAAAGAAATATCCACAAAACAATTGAAAATGAAATAGTATGTGCTAAATTTATATTGCATTAGAAAAAAATCTTGACAAGTTAGTTATTACTAAAATTAGATAAGCACGACAAACTACAGTCAAGCAGAGCAAAGTTTATAAATGCAAACAAGAAAAAGTACAATATTTTCCATGGATCAGCTGGCCAATGTTGTGATAGTATAACTGGTTGCAGAAGTTCACAAATAGAGCATTACACACAAGTGTCATATGTAACTGAAAAGTTGAACCATATTCTAATCCAGTTAGTTGGCAAAGACATTACTGCGTATGTTCTCTTAGGCCATTATGGTTTTCATATAGCTGTGCTTGTGTTTAAGAGAGAGCAATTCTAAATCCTAAGTCTACAACATACAATAATTAGCTACACATTCGATAATTTTGACAGTTGCTTTGTTTTCAATTCCAGAATATCCAGATAATTCACTGAAACAAATTACTTCAACACTGACTACATCGGTATATTCATTGAGAGACCTCTAGGAGGCCCACCACTATGCCAGACTCTCGTCTCGTGTGGTCAACTTGGAAATACCATTCAATCAAGAACTAATTATCTTTAGTAAAAAGATAAGAATGCAAGCAAAAGAAGCTTACAGTACTAGTAATGCCCTTCATTAATTGGGGGCCAAGAGCATCTTGAAGACGCTGAGCAAGAGATGGTGCAGAGATTTCTGAAACTATCGTCTTTAATGCTATACTACAAATATCACGATGCTGATCCTTCCCATTTACCAATTTATCACAGAGTTTATTAGCCATCTCCAAAACCCTATCCTCATTGACCTTCTTGACAATCGGTGGCAGGCTGAATGGAAAATAAAAGGAAGGAGTAAAAACAACTTTCACGTGGGTACAAGACCGAATAAATGAGTAGTCATGATAGTTTGGAAATTAAGAAAAAGATCATAAAGGCAATAAATAAGAGATTAACCATTTCACAGCCAGTCCAGAAACATCTCCAGAAGAATCTTCGAGCTGTTGAACAATGGTATTTGTTAATTTCGCCTCCAGCTCAGCATCAGCTTTAAAACCTTCTTTATTTAATTCAGTCAGCAAATCTGAAGTAGCCATATATCTATAATCTTTATCCTTTCCTGTCATCTGGTTATTACAAAAAAGCATTAAAACATCAAATGTGCAAGGACACGTGGCAAGCAACAAAAAGCAAGGTTCAAGGATACCTTTTCTAAGATGGGGATCACAGCTACCCCCGACATTGTTTTTGGTCCTTTTACAACAGGGATTAGAAATCGATGAAATTGTTTCCCTGCGTGCAAAACAATAAACAACTAGATGTTAACATGATGTATTTTCAGTTGGCATTCCAAGATTAATACCCTTCATGATTTAGAATTTCAAGATACTCAATATTGCAACTTTAGAATGCAATTTAGGCTGTAGATATTAAAGCTTGCAGTCTTGAAATTCCCATTAAATGTAGAACTTGATGTCAAAAACAACAAAAAAAGTATGTGATAGAGAATGGCATGACTTAGGTTTGTAGGGAATTTTAGTGGAATAAAGTGCGAAGATTTTTCTCCAGAAAATAATTTGAAGATTTAAAAGAAGGAAATGGGATTTTTTTAAGGGCAAAAAGGATGGTAGAAAGACCTAAAAATCACTTTTTCACTTTGGAAAAATTCGTAGGAGCTCCATAAGCACTACACCACACCAATAGGAAAAGGCTGCGAGGCACAAATCACTTGTAAATGAGAAGATGGTAGAATTAAATATTTTTTTTCTTGTGCTACACACCCTCCTCCGATTGGCGTGGTGTATGACCATGGAGCACCAAAGAATTTCTCTTCACTTTGTTAGACAATTTACTGACAAATAAATAGAATCAATAAAACCGCCACTTTCCATTTAATATACAGAATAAAATAGGCAACTACTGAAAAGAAAACTTGCAAAATTAAATTCTTAATAGAATGTGCACAGTCAGCTGCCTGTATCGAAAACAGAATGAAACCTCAGTTTTTGGAAAGAGATAGAGATGATAGACTTAGGGCTAGGGATCAGGGACTATCAGGTTTCAGCATTAAGATTAGTATACAGGTAAACAAAGCAATCTAAGCGTCTCGAACCAAAGAAAAACCTAACAAACGCAAACATTCATGCAACTGCTAATAAAACAGTGATTAGCGTTCCAAACAAAATAATTACAGTGCGATCCCAACAAAGTAACAGGAGAGTGTCGAAGTACAATATATGCGCATTTCCGGTGAAATTGAATGAATCTAAACCCTCAATAGAGATCATAGAGTTAGGGTTAGGGTTAGGGATAGGGGATCATCAAATTTCTAAAAATAGTAGTATACAAGTAAAAAACCAATCTAAGCGTAAAAATCCAAAGAAATCCCTAACAGACGCAGAGATTCAAGCAAAAACAAAATTGAAGTGCGTGTAAGAGACAATTAAAGTACATGAGAAGCGCATTGTTGTGAAATTAAACGCATCGAAACCCTAATTAGAGATGGGGAGTGAACTTACTTCGTTCGAGACTTCGAGATTTACGAAAACCCTAATGAGAGCTAGAAATCGCGATAATCAGAGAGAGTGGGGGGAGGTGAGAGAGGCGGATTCTGTAGACAGAGCTATTTTACATTGTGGGGGATTTAGGTTTAAATGACGGAATTATTCTTGACGATTGGATATATTTACTTTGATGCCATTCATCGGATCTATTTCAATGGTTTAGAAATTCATTAGATGGTTTAAGTTTAATCTAAAAATATAATTAGAGTATTCTTATTTTTAAACAACTGAAGGGGCCTTTCTGATAGATTGGAACAACACTTGTTTTCAGGGCGCATTATCAAAGATACTTAGCTTTCTTGTTCACACCTAGAGAAATGATATCTTCAAGTAGTTCATTGTATGTGAAGAATGAAGCAGCTCATGTATTAGCCCGAAGAGCTAATGACCTCGATGACTATGTGATATAATTGGAAGACCTTCCATCATTTTTGTAAAGTCTACTACAGTCTGATATAGTGAGTCTTTGAACGAAGTCATTTGATGTGTTACGGGGTTCTTTCATTTATAAATTGGATGTATTTTGATAGACATTATTGTCCTGAATAAAAAAAAGGATCATCTATAAATTCTAGTTTTTATGCGAATTTGTAAAAGTCATTGAATATGTGTGAAATATCATATAGTTGCTGAGTTCCACATGAATTTAAAATGTACAAAAATTTTCTTGTATTGTAATTCTAGTTTAGTGTATTATATTTTTCACTAAATTACATTTATTTATTTTGCAAAAACACTTTTTCATATTAGAGCCGCATCTTTTTCTATCGCAAATACTACGTTCAAGTTTTGTGTTTTTGTAACTTTTTTACAATTGAGATGGATCTAAGTAACAACCGATTCATAATTATGTTGGGATTCTGTAAAGGAACATTATGTTATTGAAACTCCAAACAATTGAGGAGATAAATCAAACAAAGAGGGATTGCATTGCTTGAGAAAAACTCAATTCATGAACTCTCATAAGAGTGAACATAGTAGAATTACTTTAATCGTGAAATAGAAAATGAATTGGATTATTATATCCAATGACGGATTCACATAGAGGGCACTACGAGCATGTGCTTCATACATGTGGGAAAAAATATAGAGAATGGTAGGATTATTAGGGTTGACCCATAAACACTAAACGGGTGCCCACCCCAATTTCCCAACCCGAAGATCCTAAAACCAAACTTTTTAAAGTATAGACTCAATTTTTAGTTTCATGTGTCTTTCTCTCTTCTTCTGGATCTCAATTCATAAAAAATAGATTAAAAAAACTCTAAAAAGATTTTCTCCGCCACTACTCATTTGTCACCTCCTCTGCCTTCCATCTTTACTTCTACCTCAAGCCTTAGCACCTCCATAAATTTTTTTCTGGCCTTACTCTAATTTTAAATCGTCTCGCTTTCAAGTTCGCAACAATCTTCTGTCGACCGTCATGACGAGACTCGAGCACTTCTTTCAACTTCTCTATCTACGCCACATGCACTCTTCTCTAACATTCATCTTAGACTCTTCTCTAACATTCATCTATTGTCTAAGGTGAGACATTTATCAATTTATTGAAAATTTTAGAAAAATATAGTTGAAATATTTTATTGACGTATTATATATGTATTACTTTATTTTCTATATTTGTTTTATGAGTCAAATTTTACAAAAGAAACTATAGGTAATTCATAGTCGACTTGACTATTTTGAAAATATCAAAGATATTTTGCTAAATTGAATAGAAAAGGTTAATGTATATACATCTCCTTATCTTTTGTATTTGTGCGAGTCAATGATGAATTGTTAATATTATAGTTTATTAGTCTTAATTAATTGTATTAGTGTATGCATCCATACTAAATTTTGAAGCCTAATTATAAATAATATGTATATTAAAAAAAATCAACAACTTATGTCTTTAGTTATTGTAATCCACATTGAAAATTGAAAACCAAATATCTATTTGCAATTCCTTTATGGAAATTTTAAATTTCAAGATTATTAATTATCAATTTTATCCATGTTAGATAAGAATAAATTTTTAAAAAGAAAATCAATGACTGAGGAATCAAGCTCTGCTCAACATTATTCTTCTACAAAGTAAAAGTTTCTGGAAGTTAATTTAAAAGATCTACTAGTAGATCTTGGACTACATCCAAAAATGTTAGATTATCATCATAATGATCGTGAAGGAATTCGAAGAGCCTATATACTTAAAGGTCTGTGTCAACCGCGAGAGCATAAATTTTCTCAAAGCAATTTTGGGATGAAATTAAGACGCTTCAATCTTGAATGGTTCAAGGAGTATGGTAATTGGCTAGAGTACAGTATATCAAAAGATGCAGCATTTTGTTTATGTTGTTACCTCATGCGAGAGGAGAAAAGGGACGGAGATGCTTTCATTGTTAATGGATTCAAAATCCAGAAAGACAAAACAGAGAGATTTCAAGCTCATATTGGGGGCCCTAAATAGTGTTCATAGTGTAGCTTGGAGAAAATGTCTATCTTTAATGAATCAAAAGCAACACATTGAAGTTGTAATTCTTAACAATCTGATCAAGTGAAAAGGGAGTAACATATTCACTTGGTTGCCACAATAGATTGCATTCGATTTCTTTTACATCAGGGATTAGCATTTTGAGACCGTGATGAATCTGATACGTCAAGTAGCCGGGGGAACTTTCTTGAGTTATTACGATTTTGGTTGATCGTAATGAATATATTAACAAGATTTTAAAAGGTGCTCATGGGAATCTAAAACTAATAGCACCTAATATCCAAAAGAATATTGTCAGTGCAGCTGCTGAGGAGACTACTTGTGCTATTATTAATGATCTTGGTGATGAATTTTTTACCATTTTGATTGATGAGTCTTGCGACATATCCGTGAAAGAACAAATGACCATTGTTTTACGTTATGTGAACAAGAAAGTGTTGGACCCTAGAGGGGGGGGTGATTAAGGTCAAGAGGCTATAATTATGCAATAAAATTAAGACAAGCAAACCACAGTATTCTAATGCAATCAAAATAGAGGAGATAGGGTTAGGAATCGTTATCCTGTGACGCGCGATATGTTAACGAGGTTCGATCCGCTGACCTACGTCCCCGCTCCCCACTCTCGAGGAGAAATCCACTACACAACCCGGTTTGGAAGCCGGAACTTCATCTACACAGCGATCCCCACACGATCTCACACTACACAGTTGATCTCACTAGATCATACTCCCTCACAGTTGATCTACACAAGATCACACTCACAAGATAGTATAAATGGTGTAAGACTCTCTCTTTACAACGTCCATATGGCAAAGAGAAAGAGCACACTGAAGCTGAGAAGTGAACACACAAAAAACACAGAAAGAACAGTTTGAAAATTTTGCTCAGTGAAAACAAACGTCTCTGGTTTTTGCAAAAGCTGGGACACTGAGGAAGAAGAAGAGGATGAGTTTAAATAAGGAAAAACCAGCTGTTTAAACCCATACCCTTAATCCCCCAAAATCTGGAAACAAACGTCGCTGAGATCTGTACTGAGCGACGCTGGAAAAAGGACAAAGATTACCGTTTGAAAAATACGGCGGTCGACCGACGAAATTTTCGGTCGACCGACCAAATCATTCGGTCGACCGAAGAAATTTTCGGTCGACCGCGATCCAGATCGAAAACGAGAAAAACAAACAGAGACTTCATCGGTCGACCGGTGCGGTCGACCAACAGAAAATTCGAGCTCTCGGTCGACCGCATCGGTCGACCGACAAACTCTCTGCTGCCCACTGACGAATGATCATATGAGCGGTCGACCGGTGCGGTCGACCGCATTCTGATACATTTCAGATAAACAGTTTTTGACTCAACTAAAATATTTGAAAAATATTTATTTGACCTCTGAAAATTCTGAAACTTTGTAAAATGTTTTTAATACTAAAAACAAACTGTTTGGAAAAGGAATTTTGTAGATAGGTCCTCATACTTGTGAAAAATAGTATTTTGTGAAAAACGCTTAAAAACATAAGTATGAAAACGTGTGTGTGATATCCCAATAGCTTCAAGTGAAGTCAATAACTCTTTGCCTACATTCTAGCACTAGAGAGAAAAATAAAAGATAGTTAATATCCTCATATAGAATGCAATGCTTGAGTCTTGATATAGCTTGAATTTGATGAAGCTTCTATTTGAATTTGTTGTTCTTGAAATAACGTTGCTTCATCACTATGCCTCCTCCTCCTTTGGATATCATCGTTGTAGCGCATATTCCATCCAATCCTCCATTTATGGTACTAACAAGCTTGATAAATAAATTCACTACATTTGTACTTAATAAGCCATTAGTACCGATAATGGTGGTTGTAAAACATTGTAAAACATCATCAAAATATAAGGGCTAACAATCTCCTCCTTTTGATGATGACAACCAACCATTATATAAGAGCAAAAAATAAAGATAGTTTATAGATAGGTGCTCCCTCTATCTATGAGCTACTCCTAATTAAGTATATGCAACAAATGAGGAGATTTCTCTCCCCCTTTGTCACCATAAAAAATGGGGTAAAGAGAAATGCAAAATGCAAAATGCAACTAAACAAGCAAGCAATGTAGAACTTTCACATAGTGTATAAGCCCAAACCATTTCTTATGCGACAAAAATCATCCTCTCCAAGAGGCTTAGTAAATATATCCGCTAATTGAGATTTTGTGTCAACAAATACTAGGGATACATCTTGTCTTTCTACATGACCGCGTAAGAAATGATGGCGCACATCAATATGCTTGGTTCTAGAATGCATAACTGAATTTTTAGAAATATTTATAGCACTAGTGTTATCACAAAAGATTTTTATATTTTGAAAAATCAAATCATAATCAACTAAGCTTTGTTTCATCCATAAGACTTGAGCACAACATAAGCCGACAGCAATGTATTCCGCTTTCGTAGTGGACAATGCAACACAATTTTGTTTCTTGGAAGCCCAAGAGACAAGTGAATTTCCTAAGAATTGGCATGTTCCACTCGTACTTTTGCGATCTACCTTACATCCGGCAAAGTCGGCATCACAAAAACCATATAAATCAAAAGAGGTGCTTTTTGGATAAAATAAACCAAGATTAAAAGTTCCATT